TGGTCCCTAGGCCTGGCCTGCTATCAGGGCCATCTTCCCCAGCTGCCCGCAGTTGGCCCTGCCCCCCGCCACCACCCACCCCTGGTTCCCTGTTCTCCATCGGGTGATGGGTGCCTGACGACCAGGGGAAGGGACCAAGAGGTCGGCTGTTCCTGCCCACTCACCAGCCCCGCCCCCGCTGCTGGAGGCCATCAGGTGATCAGAGCCTGCCAACTGGGGAAAGGGACCAAGAGGTGGTCAGTGTGCCTCATAGTGACTGGCCCAGTGGTCGTTCCCATTAGGGTCAATTTGCATATTACCCTTTTAGTATATAGGATAGAGGCCTGGTGCATGGGTGGAGGCTCGCTGGCCTGCCCTGAAGGGGGCCCTGGATCGGGATGGGGAGTCCCCGCTGGGGGCAGGGGTGGCCTGGGCAAGGGGCTGCAGGTGGTTTGCAGGCCAGCCACGTCCCCAATCAGGGTGGGGGTCCCCACTGGGGGGTGGGGCCAGCCTGGGCTGGCCTGGATGAGGGGCCGCGTCCAGAAGACGCCCAGTCTATCCATCTAATTAGCATATTACCCTTTCATTAGTATAGATATGCTTTGCAAATTATTTCTCCCATTCATTAAGTTGCCTTTCCACTTTAACTATGCATGAGCTTTTTAGTCTGATGGAGTCTCCTTTATTTTTGCTTTTGTTGCCTTTGCTTTGGAGTCCAATTTTTCCAAATAAATGTAGCCATTTATTTCATCTTCTTGCCCGATTGATCTCAATAAGGTTTGCAGTGCTATATTAAAATGGTGAGAGTGTGCATCCCTGTCTTGCTCCTGATCTTTGAGGAAGTTTTCAGCTTTCCACCATTAAGTATGATGTTAGCAACAGCCTTGTCATATATGGCCTTTATTATGTTAAGGTATGTTTCCTTTATACATACTTTGTTTTTATCATAATTGTATGTTGATTTTATGTAAAAGGCTCTTTCTGCATCTACTGAGATACTCATGATTTTTACTGGTATTCTTCATTTTGTTAAAGTGGTGTATCCAATTGATTGACTTGGGGATGCTGGACAATTCTTGCATCCTTGCAATAAACCCCTCTTGATCATGATGTAAGATCTTTTTAATGTATTGCAGAATTCAATGTGCTAATATTTTTTGATAATTTTTGCATCTGCATTCATTGGGAATATTAGCTTGTAATTTTTTCTTGTGGTGTCTTTGTATGGGTAATGTTGGTGTCAGAGTAATATTGGCCTCGTAAAATGAGTTGGTAAGTGTTCCTCTTTTATTTCTTGGAAAAGTTTGAGAAGGATAGCTATTGATTCTTCTATAAATGTTTGGTAGAATTCATCTGTGAAGCCATCTTGCACTGAACTTTTGTTTGTTGGGAGTTTTTTTTATTACTGTTCAATTTCTTTACTAGAAGTTGGTCTTCTCAGGTTATTTTTTCATGATTCAGTCTTAGAAAGCTGTATGCATCTAAGGATTTATATATTTCTTCTAGATTATCTAAGTTGTTGGTGTATAATCATCCATAGTAATCTTTTATGATTCTTTATATTTCTGTTATCAGTTGTAATGTCTCCTTTTTCATTTCTGATTCTGTTTGCCCCCCCCCCTTTTTTTTTCTTCGTGAGTCTAGGTAAATATTAATTCTGATTATCTTCAACTAGCTCTTAGTTTCATTGACCTTTTCTCTTGTCTTTTTAGTCTCTCTTTCATTTATTTCCTCTCAGATCTTTGTTATTTTCTTCCTTCTACTAACTTTGGGCTTCACTTTTTTTTCTAGGTTTTTGTGGTGTAAAGTTAAACTGAAATTATTCTTGTTTCTTGAGGTGGGCATTTATCATTATGAACTTCCCTCTTACACTGCTTCTGCTGACTTCTTATAAGGACACAAGGCAGAAGAGATTAGGGCACAACCCTAACAGACTCATTTTAACCTATTTACCTCATTGAAGGCCCTGCCTCCACATGCACATACACTCACTTTGTGAGGTACTGCAGGTTAGGTTTCAACAGACAAAACTAGGGGCACACAATCCAGCTCATAGGGTCTTTCAAGTAATTTGTACATTTCATCCAAGTTCATAAATGTATGCCCATAGTTATTTCTAATATTTCCTTCTGATCCTAATATTTATTGGGTCTGTAGTGACTTCCCCTTTCCATTCCTCATATTAATAATTTGTCTTTATTTTTTATGCCAAGAGCAAAAGATAAAGAGAGAATCTTAAAAACAGCAAGAGAAAGAAACTCAGTTACCTACAAGGGAATACCCATACGACTGTCAGCTGATTTCTCAACAGAAACTTTGCAGGCCAGAAGGGAGTGGCAAGAAATATTCAAAGTGATGAATACCAAGAACCTACAACCAAGATTACTTTATCCAGCAAAGCTATCATTCAGAATTGAAGGTCAGATAAAGAGCTTCACAGATAAGGAAAAGCTAAAGGAGTTCATCACCACCAAACCAGGATTATATGAAATGCTGAAAGGTATCCTTTAAGAAGAGGAAGAGGAAGAGGAAGAAAAAGGTAAAGATACAAATTATGAACAACAAATACGCATCTATCAACAAGTGAATCTAAGAATCAAGTGAATAAATAATCTGATGAGCAGAATGAACTGTTGATTATAATAGAATCAGGGACATAGAAAGGGAATGGACTGACTATTCCTGGGGGGGGAAGGGGTGTGGGAGATGCGGGAAGAGACTGGACAAAAATCGTGCACCTATGGACAGTGGGTGGGGAGTGAGGGCAGAGGGTGGGGCGGGAACTGGGAGGAGGGGAGTTATGGGGGGAAAAAAAAAGAGGAACAAATGTAATAATCTGAACAATAAAGATTTAATTAAAAAAAAACAAACAAAAAAAAATAATAATAATAATTTGTCTTTATTTTTTTCCCCCCTGATTAGTCTGGCTTGGGCAAGGGTTGACAAACTTCATCTGTTTTTTTAAATATTTTAGGCATTGTGGGCTAAATATGATCTTTGTCAATTTTCCTCCTGATTTTTGGATGGAATGCTCTGGATATATCTGTTAAGTCCATCTAACATATCATGTAAGGCTGTGTCCTTATTGCTACTCTGTCTTGATTATGTAATGATATAAGTACAGGTATTATTTCCTCCATCCTTTTAAAATAACTGTATAAAAATACAAACAACATTCTTAGCTTATAGGCTGTACGGAAAAAAGCTGTCGGCAAAATTTGACCCACAGGTTGTGTTTGCTAACCTCTAGGCTTGAAGTTTAACTTCATTCTTTCAGAGACAGACACATGAGGCACTTCGCTATGCCATCCTCATTTTAAATTAATCTCAACCACTTTCCTTAAGTATTCCAGGAATAGTTATCTATTTAACCTACTTTTGGGCTCACCTTAACATTAAGGAAAGTGACTGACAGTAACACCAAAACTCTATCCAGTGGGGGATTAGTTAATTCTACAAATAAAAATTGAGGTGCTATACAAGGGGGGAGAAATGGGTTCAGAACGGATTAAAAAAACGTTTACGTTGATTAAATTGTAGTTCTAATATTTCCTATGCTTAGAGCATACGAATTATCATCTACCTACAAGTTATAAATGACTCGTTGATATACTCATTGTCTTCAGGTATATTTTGTGAGCATTTGTGGAATCCTCTCTTAGTCTCTTCCCAATTATGGGTCTATTCAAATTTCTTACCTCTAGAAGCTAGATTTTAAAGACAGCTATGATCAATCACACCCACATCAAATAACTAAGAACTGCCTTTGTCCATGTCCATGTCCATGTCCCCTATTTCCAGATTTTGGCCCGTATACCCCTTGTACCTGTGCACCTCCTCGTTTTGCATTCAGGCATTTCTCAAGACCAATCCCGGTATTTAGTAGGCAGTAAATTTATAAAAGGCACCTTTGTCTGCCTCCAAATACAGAAAGCTTACTACTAGCAGGTGACCCGCTATTCAGACTCACTGCCAGGCAATAAAGCAGAGCTTCTGGGGGCAGGAAACGTCAAGTACAAGGTAAGGTTTCTGGCCTTGCTCCGCTGTTCTCCTTCGTTGTGTGAACTTGGCCCATTAGTCTTCCTTCAGTTTCCCTTTCCTCTGCAAAACGTGGACACCAGAGAGCTGTCACTGAACTTGAACCGTTGCCGTGACTTTCTTTTTGAGGACTGTCTTTTTGTTTGAAACATATTAGGATTTCAAAACCAGGTTTGGCAGGTTCTCTCTCCCTCACTCGATCCTGACGCCCACAAAGTAGGTGTGAAAAGGAGCCAGGAAAAGACAAGTGGGCTCCACCGTTTCCAGCCTCGGCCCGTCCCGGCAGCTTTGCGTCCGGGGGAACACTTCTCTGTTCAAGTGTCAAAGGGAGGGGCGTCCCGATTGCAATACTGGTTTCCACACTCCGGTCACACGGAACCCTGGAGTGAAGTCGCCGGGAAAACCGAACACTTCCCCTCCATTCAGACGGTGACTGAACGGGCCTGCTATCTCCAACTGCGCGTCTTTGCTCCGGTATGTTCTTCAGACACCGAGTCTGCCGCTGTTTTTAAAACCAAAACCGCCCACTTGTTCTGCTGGGTCCAGCAGCTATTCTCCTTTTTGAAAGCACGGCGCGCTCACGTTGTGGCCGACACACCGCCTCTGGCTCGCAGGACGCGCTCCGGCAGCACGGAACCGGAACCGTCCGCGGCAGCTGAGGGAAGGCGGCGGGAAGGGACTAACCGGAGCCCTTGTACGCACTTGGCACCGCAGTGGCCCCGGGAAGCGGTGGCGAGGGCGGGGCGGGCTGAGGGGCCCGGGGAGGAGGGGCGTCTGTAATCCCTTCAACAATGAAGGTGGAAACCCTACAACTGTGCGTCTCTGTCCGGAACACCAACACTCTCGGGGCTGGGAGGACACCCAGACCTGGGGGACGGGCCGCTCTCCCCGAGCCCCGCCGGCACTCACGGCCTCCTTCTCGAACATGCTGGGCCGCCTCTCCTTCCGGGACGCCCCCGTCGGGGACGGCTGAGCGGCCGGCGTCACGGGCGCTTTCCCGATGCGGCTGCGCCTCTCCATCGCGCCCGCCTCCGCGCCTCGCCGGCACCGCGCCTCCCTGCGGCGGAGCCCAACGCCACCGCCGCCACTTCCCGCGAGAGCTCAGTCTCGCGCCTGCGCCGCGCAGGCCGACGTGCTTCCGGAAGTTCGGCGCGCAGGGGGGGGCGGGACCAGCCGCGTCCTGGCGCGGCGCCGCGGGCCGGACCCGGAAGTCGTGGAGGTGAGCGGTGGGCGGCGCAGGTGGGAGGGTAGGGGAACGCGGAGAATGATGCACTGGCCGTCAGACCCTGAGCTTTTGTGAACCCACACTTCACAAATGCTGTGAATGATGAGATTGCAACCTTTAAACGTTTATTTATTTGAAAATCGTTACGTAAATTATCTTTCAATTTAATCACAATGTTTTAATCATACAGCTGTCCCAGTAGTTAGAGCTGTTTATAGTCTGTTCAGATAGAGCTAGAGGCCGGTGCTCGGGAATCAGTGCATCTGGGTGGTCCCTCAGGCGGCCTGCGCCCTCTCGGGTCTGGGGAGCGGCCTAAGCCCGCAGTCGGACATGCTTAGCCACCCCTGTGGGAGCGCACTGACCACCAGGGGGCAGCTCCTGTGTTGAGCATCTGCCCTCTGGTGGTCAGTGCATGTCATAGCAACCAGTCGTTCTGCTGATTTGCATATTAGCCTTTTATTATATAGGACTAGAGGCCCAATGCATGAAATTCGTGCAAGAGTAGGCCTTCCTCCCCCCGGCTGTGAGCGCTGGCTTCCCTCGCAGCCCTGGCTTCGTCTGGGAGGATGTCTGGTCTAATTAGCATATTACACTTGTATGATTATAGATATTCTTGGGTTAAGTGTATAGTTAGCACTCATGCGTCTTTACTTCCCGTAAGACAGTGTCTTTTATGTTCTACGTTTCAGATGTCGCTGGAGGACCCTGTTACCACATGCCTTTCTGCCCCGGTGTACCATCTGATCTGTGAACTCGGGCTTGAAGTCAAAGAATATCCTGCTATCAGTAGCATTGTGGCTGGGAACGGGGACGTGTGCTGGAAGACGATCACAGACTGTGTGATTGGTGCCGAGTCAGGTCTGCACTTTCTCTGCACCCCAAACATCCCTGGATCCTTTTCATTTTAAAGGTCTCGACCGCCAATATTCCCCTTGCCTACCATTGATTGCAGTGGTTCTCAACCTTCCTAAGGCCATGACCCTTTAATGCAGTTCCTCCTGTGGTGGTGACCCCCAACCATAAAATTGTTTTCATTGCTACTTCATAACTGTAATTTTGCTACTGTTATGAATCATAATGTAAATATCTGATATGCAGGATGTATTTTCAGGGGTCGCGACCCACAGGTTGAGAACCGCTGGAGAGGGTGTTATCATAACGGCCTCACTCAAAAGATAAAAGGAATTGCTGTGAAAAGAGGGAATGAGGCTAAAGAAGCATAGAAGAGTTCAGGGGAAGCTGGGCCAAGAAACCTGTGTGTGAGAAGGGAGGTTGGGAGGCAGTTAGGGTGATGGTCTTGGCTCCAGGCCAGCAGTCCAGATGGCAGACAGTAGAAAATACAAGTCATGAATTAGGTATGAAATGACCAGTAACATGTTACATAATTATTTTAGATGCCTTCCACCTGTTTTTGCACATTTTTTTGGAGCAGGGAGTTGGCCTGGAAATTTCACAATAGTTATAAAAATGACAAATAAATGTGCTCTGGCCCAGCAGTTCCATTCCAGGAATTTATAGGACTGGCACACTTACAGACAGCAGCGTGTGTGTGTGTGCAAGGGTTCTCCTGCAGTGTCATTTGTAATAGCCAAGAAGAAAAAAGCACTGGAAACAGCCAGATGTCAGGCAGTAGGGATCGCTTCAGAAAATCATGAACAGTTCACAGTGGAACACCCTGCAGTGGGAAAAAGAATGAGGAGGCCTGGCCTTCGACCACTGGAATCTCTGAGCTGTGTTGCTAAGTGAAAAAATGAGGATCATATATTTGCATTTGCTTTTATATGTGTAAATATTTCTAAATATACACAAGGAATTAATAACAGCAGCTGCTCTAGGAAGGAGAATTCAGTGGCCAGGAGGGAGACTTACCCTCTTATATATTTTTTTTATCATGAACCATGGGAATGTTCAAACTTCTAAAATATTTCATATAATAAATATGATCTAAAATAATTAAGATCATTGGAAATTGCACAGTCTAATGTTAAGTAAAAAGGAATCAGGTTAAAGTATTATATATGCTGTATGAACCTGATTTTCTATAAACTTATATACAGGTAAAGAAATTGAAGAAAATATTTTTCTCCTGTTTGAAACTTTCTGTATTTTCCAAGTTCTCAGCCAATAGCATATTTTTATGTTATAATCAGATGAGCACCATATAACTTATTTCAAGGTAGGTGTATCTTTTTTGTAAGTTCAATTATAAACTGGATGTGGACTTTGTGGGAATTTTATAATTAGAGCACTTTTTCTCTGATGACTCAGGTATTTTTCTCCCCATGATATAGGAGCAGAGGTGCTAACTTGTTTCTCATCCTTGAAGGCCAAGGTCTGGATTACCAGGGAAGCGTGAGGCTGCTGGGCCCTGTGTGTGAGGCTGTCCACATGCATTTCTCATCTCTCACCAAGGGGCAGTTTGAAGTTCAGTATGTACCGTGGCTCCAGTGGACAAGTTCTCCAGAGGTTTGGCCTTTGCAAATTCCACTTCGAAACCCTGTTACTTGCTAATTTGAAAGGGGTCTCTCTGGAGGGCCCGGAGGGGAACTTGGGACTTATGCAGCATCTCTGGGTCTGAGCTGAGAAGCACACCCTTTGACCAAGGGGAGTATCGAGGTGCAGCATTAGGATGGGGGTGGGAGGGAGCTTGGTGTGTGGGTGCTGGTCCTGGACAGAGGCAAAGTGGGCCTCTGCAGAAAAGAGACAGCCCTGCTGGCAGAGCGAGGTCATCTTGAGACAGTGGGCCCCAGGCTTGGAGCGGGGCTGGCCTCAGTCCTGCTGAATTGGAGGGAGGGGGTCCTTCGAGGCTCAGACCTGGTTTCAGCTGCTTTGTTGGTTGGTGAAAACCACCGATGTCACGTGGCACAGTAAAGGACCACAGCAGAGCAGTACCTCCAGCAAGTCTACCTCTGAAAACCTTTGGAGTTTCCCCATTCAGCGTGAAAGGGTCATTCCTGCTCCCTCTGCAACAGCTCTCAGAAGCGGCAGGGTGGGCTGCCGTATGTTTATCTTAAGAATTAATCCAAATTGGAAATAAGATTTAGGTAAAAACATTTGACTTCTCGATGTACAGTCACACCACACTTCCTATTTTCAATAAATATTAAACAAAGGACATTCAAAGAACTCCTTAGATATTTTTTATGATTTAGAAGTTATATTTGTAGGAAATGTTTACCTATACTCAAAAAAATCATTAAAATATGATCATCAAAATCTTTAGAGGTTCTGGCTCTTATGAACAGTATTGTTACTAGGAGAAATATTTCTTATTGAGCATAAATTCTGAAGCGCGTCTCATTCGAAACAGTTGTTTCCGGAAATATTTGATGCCTTGGAGAGTCGTGAGTCCCCTGCTGCTGCTCTCAGCCTCATGAAGCTGACGGCCTGTCTGGAACGGGCCCTGGGTGATGTGAGTGTGAGAACGCTCGTTGTGGGGCCGTTAGAGTACCTGAGTGACTTGATTTTAATTCTCCTTCTCCTCTAAAGTGCAGTTATTTGGTGCAGAGTTTTAGTATGTTTTGGATGATTATGACATTAAAACATGGGTGTCTTCAGTAATGGTCTCCCACCATTTGTCCAAGCAGTTGCCTTATGGGTGATTTCTCCCTGAATATCATTTGGCTCACTGGAATGCAGCTGCTACATGAATTTTGTTTGAATTTCAGGTGTTTTTACTGGTGGGGAAGGAATGCCCGTTTCTTTTAAGAGACCTGCTTGCCTCTGCGGAGCTTGCTCGAGTCTTCGGGCGGCCTGTGGTAAGCTTCCCCCGCAGCCACAGAGGAGGCGCAGCACATGGCGGTGAGCGTCCACTGCACTTGTGCTCCTCAAAAATATGCTGATGGGAGTGTCGTCACCTCACAGGTGGAGGGCCCTCAGAGCTTCCCACAGCCTCAGGTTCCCCTCCGAGCTGCCCGTCCCGTTTACACACAGGCCCACGCGGTACACTGTGGCGCTTCTGTGCCAAGTCGTTTCCTGTGTGAGTTTATCTGGATGTCAGGCTGTTTGATGCCCAGCACCGCCTGGGACAGGTCCCACCCTCGCCCTGCCCGGGGTCCCCTCTGCACCCTCCTCTCACCTGCACAGTGGGCCTCACAGCAGTGCCTTCTTCGTGGGCGGGTCTGAGGATGGGCGAGGCAGGTGCACGCAGTAACTGCTCAGTAACTGTAGGCTGTTTATTACCTCTATGCCGACGACTGTGTACTTACTAGGGCCGTGGTCGGCAAACCACGGCTCACAAGCCACATGCGGCTCTTTGGCCCCTTGAGTGTGGCTCTTCCACAAAATACCACGTGCGGGCATGCACGTACAGTGTGATTGAAACTTCGTGGCCACACTCAAGGGGCCAGAGAGCTGCATGTGGCTCGAGAGCCACAGTTTGCCGACCCCTGAACTAGGGGAACTGCTGTGGGAAGGAAGGAAACGTGACTTGTTGCATCAGTGATTTATTAATGACCACACTGCCCAGCCTCTGCTCTCCTTCCCTGCCCAGATGGACGTCCTGACGGTCTTCGTGGGCTCTCCACGCGGACTCAACCTGCGCAACGTCCTGTGGCACGGGTTCGCGTCCCCGCAGGAAGTTCCTCCAAAGTAGGTGCTGCAGAAGGGCCTCCCCTGTGGAGGGCACTGGGGGTTCACCCCTCTGTCGGGACAGGGAGGCCCGTCTCCACAGGACTTGGAGGGGAAGCTGGGTGTTCTAGCGGAGCCCCTGCAGGGGTCCTCACGGTTTCAGCTCCCACGTGTCTGAGGTTCTCTTGTTGCTCCCAGCCCATGTGGCACTGCTTCACTTTGCTTTCTTAATTTTGAACTTTTTCTCCTGAAAGGAAAGCCTTTTATACGTATGACTGAGGTCTCCGGCATCTCCCACAGGTACTGTTCGATGCTGGTGCTGCTGACCGCGGGGCTGGGCCAGCTGCTGGAGGCTCACCTGCAGCAGACGGAGCGCACGGTGGCCCATCGGCCGCTCCTCACGCTCGCGGACTCAGAGGACTGGACCGTCTTCCCCGGCAAGTCCCGCGTCTCCCCTGAGTGGCATTAGGGAGGCTGTCGTCGGAGCCTCAGGCGTGAGCTCCAGGTGGGGCGTTCTCTCGGCGACGTGCTGAGACAGAGCCACGAAGTCGTATGTGAAACGTTGCCACCTGGACCCGACCCTTCCCGCTGCGCCCGGGCTGCTGCGGGGAGTCCGTGGGTCCGTGTTGGTGACGGGTTCAGTCTGTCCTCCAGAGGGACTGGCGTGCACATGGTGTCGGGCCATTTATAAGGCGCCTCCGCTGCCCACGCTCGGCTGTGCCTCTGGGCTCCACGCGCTGTGCCCAGAGCCCTCGCGGTGGAACGGTCTTCACATTGATTATCCTCACCGTGACCGGGCCTTTTACCAAATCGTGGGGAGGGGGACCTTGAAAGAGCTCTCCACCTGTGCTTCTCCAAGCCCACTGCCCCTCACCGGCCGTCGAGGTACAAGGTCTGTGTCTGCCAGTGAGAGTGTGACTCACGTGGCCCCACATCTCAGCCTTTTGTGCACAGACCCTTGCGCTAGTCCGGTGACGGCCAATAATACGGTACATAGAAATGGCAAGACACTTTTTAGAGCGGTTTAAGCTTATAAGAACACAGAGGGAGGTCCAGAGATTCCCCTCCATCCTGCCGCCCACCCACAGCCTCCCCCACACCAACACCCCCAGACTGGACGTGTCACCAAGGACGAGCCTCCTTTACACGTCATAAGCACCGAAGTTTGTCGCTTACCCAGCATTCCCTCGAGGTTCCTGTATCTTGTGGAAGTTTATTTTCCTGGTCAGGTGGTCAGCTGGTCCACCTTGAACTCCTCTACAGAAGGTCACAGCCTGCACCACTAATGAGACGCAGTGTCCATGCCTGCTTCCACCAAAGCCCCTGGGCCACCTGCCCCGCGCAGGGCAGGGCGATCTTCCTTACCGGGGCCCCGCGCTACCCCGGGCTGGGCTGCGGCTCACCCGCGTGAGGAGATGAGCCGCCTCGCCCCGAGGGCGTTCACAGCTTTTCAGTGACGGTGGTTGTGCTGAAACCTCTTGCTGTCTTGTAGCTGCTACTGACGAGGCACTTTGGGCATTGGAGGAAGTGATGAAGAAATCCTCTTTCGTCCTGAGGATCATGTTGCCATATTGGGAAGTCGCGTTGACCAAGTTCAAGACACACAGGTGATGGGAAGGTGGCACAAGGGTGGTTCTTGAGTCCGGGGGCCAGTCCTTCCTCAGCCCCTGCCTCCAGGCCCTGCTGTGGGGCTCCAGCCACGGGTGGGCGGCTGTCTGGAGGGGGGACTCGCGGGAAACACCTTCCTGACCAGGAGAACGGCCTCCTCGTCACATGTCAAGGATCACGGGACGGCGGGTGAAGATTATTGTTTTTTAGAATCAACTTGAAAAGTCATTGAGTTTTTACTGTGAGTGAAGCCCTGAGTCCAGGGTTGGCGAGCCAGGGAACAGGAAATCAGTCTCGGGCTCCGAGGAGCGAGCTGGCGCTCATACCTCGGGTCACTGGCCTTCACTCCTCCCGCGCTTCCCGGGATGGCCACTGGGAGCCGTGAGAGCCACTGATGTCCTGGGTCTGAGTACTTTCCAGAAAGGAAACGCGGCGGCTTTGGATGGCACCTTCCACTGAGGCACTGAAAGTGGCCCATCAGGCGGTAAAGCCCCGAAGCAGTTGTAAAGGCCCGAGTCCAAGGAGACAGCTTCGGTCTCCCTTTGGACACAGCGTCCAGTCTGGACACCGCACCCTGGCTGGGGGGCCGGCCGTGCCCACCTCACAGCGGGCTGTGCTTTTCCTCCGTTTCGCAGGTTCGCCGACTGCGCCATGCTGCTGTTGATGCAGCTGGAGACGGGACTGCGGGGCCTGTTCGCCAAGGTTAACGGGTGTCCCAGGAGACTCCTGACGGCCGAGGTACGCGTGCGAGCGGCAGGCTTCTGCCGTGATCTTAACGCCTCATTTCTCTTTGCAGTTCATGAACTTGTTAGCTAAGAGCTTTCCTCAGAAGACTCAGTGTCCTTTTTTGTGGCTTTCCATTATAATGTTTTATAGGATTTACGTTTATTTATGGTTGATTGTGGTAGTTCCATCATAGTTTAAAAGTAGTCTTTTAAATTCAGTGATGTCACACAGCTAGCTACCACTCATTTCTCTCTGTAGCCATAGTCACTGACATATCACTGTGGCCCACAAGGAGGTCCATGGTCTGCAGCACACGCCCTCTGTAAGGACCCTACTCCTCTACTCCTCTTGGCCAGAACTCATCCCACCCCGCTGTGGGAGGCTCGGGTGGCAATATGCCCAGTTAACTTATTAAGAGATCCATGGATAAGGAAAGGGGGACCCCGAATTATAGGGTGAGCAGCAGCGTCTGCCATGTCTTCTTTTCCAATTCTTTCACTAGTTCATCTTTCTCTTTTTGCCCCTTTATGTCAACATTCCTCAAAATTCTCTTCTCAACCTTGTCCTCTCCTTATATTTGCTCCTTGGGAGATCTCACACAACCCCATGCCTAAAGCTGTCTCCTCTGCAGGGACAACAACTAAAAAACACTTGGAACCTCATGAAAATGGAAGCCCAACATATCACAGGCTGTCGATGCAGCCAAAGCAGCTACGAGGGCAATTCATAGCGTTAAGTTCCAGGGTCTCCAGGCATGGACTCTAACTCAGTTCTTTCATCTCCTGAGTTAGGTTGACACCCGTTTGCTGAATATCTTCATATGGGTTTTCCCCAGCATACTTTATTTTTAAAAAGCATATTTTTTCTCCTACAAATTCCTTATTCTTATCCTCTCGGTGGCTCTGGCCCCAAACCTTAGCATTGCCCTGTGCTTTGCCTGCACTTCATTCTCCATGGCCACTCGGTCCAGCACTGCCCATCGGTTCTTCTCGTGATGGATTTTGTGCCCCTCCTTTCTGTGCTGAGGCCTCCCTGGTTCCTTGTCCTGCCCCCTGAGCTCCTCCCCCGTCCCGTCTTCATGCTGCTCTTCCTTCTCTGACCCATGCTCACACTGCCACCCACTGTCTTCTAAACCAGTACATATCCCTGTGTCTTCTGTGGCCTCAAGTGCTCAACAGCCAGTGGCGTCCCCGTGCTGCGCACACAGGTCCCAGGCCTCTCAGCGGGTTCCTCCCCGCTGTTGTGCAGAGGGGCTGCGTGCCACAGTGGAAGGTGGGATCAGAGCTGAGGTTCCACCCGGAGCCTGTGTCTGTAGACGGTGCTGGTCACACCAAGAGTGGGAACCGGGCTGTTTGTGGGGGAAATGCCCCTTTACTCTTGCCTCGTGCCGTCAGCAGAGGCACCCGGGTGGGCAGTGGTTTGTGACGCTATGGGCCTGGAGGTGTGAGGAGGTCGAGCTGAACGGCCAGCACGGGCAGAGTTCCAGCGGCCGGGCGCCCTGAGTCCCACGTGGCCGTCACGTGTGTGTTTTGTCCACGTTCTTCCCAAAGTGCTGCTGGGTGGAGGCGGATTTCAGACGAGGTTTTCGTGTTTGTTGGCATGTGAGACTCTTCCTGCTTTGAACAGTTCACCTGCTCGTATTTTGCTTTAATTATTTCCTTTTTTCCCTTTTCTGAAGTCGGCAGCTCTGTACACCACCTTTGATGAAGTAAGTGAACTTGAACTTACAAGGTATCTTGAAACAAACAAAACAGTATATTCTTTTAAAATCTAAAGTGAAAGATTAGCCATCATTCACAAGCTTATAGGAAAGCATTGATCGTCGTATAAGCTAGAAACAGCCTTAGAGCTGAATATCGCTTTCAGGATGAGCTGGGGCCCAGCATTATTCACCAAGTCTCTAAAGTCGCAGATACAAGGCCGGGAAATGCCGGGGACCAGCATCAAGCGCTGCAGCTATTAGAGGCTCACACATCAGCTACGGCTAGCGCTTGCTTGTTTTGCACGTGAAACACATCAGCAACTGCCATGAGCATGTAGTAGTCACTGAGGCGTGTCATCTGAGGGGTAGGGGGCGGGATTCTGAAGAAGGAAGTCCGGAATAGTGAAAGTCACAGTGAAATGTTTTTATCACTGGTGGAGTGTAGAGGCCTCTGTGTGCCTCCTGGGTGGACTCCGTACAGACCCCGAAGCCGGTGATGCCACAGAGCAGCTCCAAGAGGAGACGGGAGTCACTCTGCCTTTGGATGACTTAGCTCCGGGAACTGGGGGAGGGGTTAAGAAGGAGCCTGCTCAGTGCGGAGTTTATCCCGTTAGTAACTGATTCGCTGTTACTGGGTGTGTTACTTGGGGCTGTGGGTACTGAACTAGACAGTGAAGTCAGGTCCATACAGGATTCAGGCCTCAGGATTGGCTCCTGCTTGGGCCCCATCACCTTCGTGAGCCAAGTGACTCATGAAGGAACTGGTGGACACGGAGCACACAAGCACACGTGTACACGTGAAAAGGCAGAGACATACAGACACACACATATATAAGTAGACATAAACACACATAAAACACAGATACCCACATATACAAGTACACAAACATACATACAAACACAGATACACACATACATACAAGTACGCAGACACACATGCGCACAGATACGCACATACAAGTACACGCATACATGTACACAGAGACACACCCTCACAGTTAGAAAGCTGCATGTACTAAGGTCATTAAACGGGTTAAGAGACGTTTTCCTGGCCCGGGGGCAGTTTCCTTGGAGACGCCCTCACTTCATCTGATTGGCTTGGCGCTTATTTAACGATTCGCAGCAAAGGCACAGGGCAGGGTGCTTCGGCTCTGAAAGGCCCATGCGTGCCCGTGTACCAGCTGAATTGCTTGTTTTGGGCGTTTTAGATGTTGGCACAACACCTGAGTGATGGCGAGATCAACCAGCTTCCTCTTGTCCTCGGGGAGCCTGCGATGGTAAGGCCTTTCTAGTCTGACGCTCTTTGTTCACGGGTGTGACCAGCACTTCTCTGACGCGGCACTGACTTTGGCCCATGACGTGCGCAGAGAGAGCGCTGAGCCCTTCGCATGCTCCCTCGTCTCCGCAGCTGCGCCCGGCCTGCGGCTGCTGGTTGTTCAGGTTCCGTCTGGGGCCTGGAGTCAGCGGTTCCCGGCAGTGCGCTCCTCCAGCGTGTCGGCAGGGCCTCTGCTGAGGATGCTGACGAGCCTGTTGTCCGTCTCTTCCGCAAGGAATTCCTCTGGGACTTCCTGAACCACCAGGAAGGGCCTCGCGTCAGAGATCACCTAAGCCACGGGGAAGTCAGCCTCCCTGCATTTCCCAAAGGACTGGCCGACCAGCTGCTCGCCTTCTCCCTGGTGCTGTTGCTGAGATTCGCTGATGAAGACCTCGCCTCAGAGTTTAAGGTAGCGGAGAGGGAAGGAGACAGTCCGGTTGCCGGGGTCCAACCCCAGCAGGTCCAGGGGTCCCCAAAGGTGTGGACGGAGTCGGCGAAGAAGGAAGGACACGGAGACAGTGTTCAGTTGATCAGCAGCCTAGCCAGGATCTCTAGCCAGGATCTCCAGCCAAGTTCTGGTCTGGATCTCCAGCGAAGTTCTGCTTAGGATCTCCTGCCAGGGTCTGTGTCCATGTTCTCTTGCTAGGTTCCCCAGCCAGGTTCTGTAGCCATGTTCCCTCGCTAGGTTCTCCAGCCAGGTTCTGTCCAGGTTCTCCAGCCAGGTTCAGTCACCAGGTTCTAGTCAGGTTCTCTTGCCAATTTCTGTAGTCAGGTTCAGTCCAGGATCTTTTGCCATGTTCTCTCGCTAGGTTCTGTCTTTAGGTTCTGAGGCTAGTTTCTGTTCAGGATCTTTTGCCATGTTCTCTCCAGCGAAGTTCTTCTGTCTCTAGAGAACGTTCTGTGTAGGTTCTGTGCCTAGGTTCTGTCTCTCCTGGTTCCGTATACTAAGTTCTGTGTTCTAAGTTCTGTCTCTAGCTGTCTTATTACATCTGTATTTAAACCAGTTGATTCAATCCTATCAATCTCTATTACAAAGGTTAGGGCGTTTCTTATCTTCATTCCAGGGAGTAAAGATTATGTAGCTTAAGCATGATTGTTCGTAGTTAAAGTGATTAATTACCCGCCTGGCACTTAGTTAAGAGGTTTTATTCCCTCCCTAACTTCAGGGGAAAATCCCTACCTGGGGAAACAACCTTTCTCAGAGACCTTGGTTAAAACACATAGTGCCAAGAAGGTAAGCAAACATATTAAGAACAGTATGCCATATATGCCAGGTCCCTTGAAACAGCAAGCATGGACCGGCTCCCGGCATCCGGTCACTGCCCCGTGGCTCGGACAGGGCAGCGTTCATTTTTAAACGCCATTCACTTCATCGTCTCTTGCTTCACTTACCTGGTTTACTGTGTGCTGCCATCAGAACACATAATTGTGCATTGATTACATGTATTGATGCTAATGTTTACATTTCTACTAAATTGTATTTTTTTAGGAGAATCTCTCAAATTTTCCAAATGTTTGATCTTTTCTTTCTTATTTCTGTCTGTGTTTGTTGCGTTGTGGACAAGCGTGGATTTGGCCTTTTAATCTATCACTGTCTTCACTTCTTCGAACATCACTTTGTTGGCAATGATGTGACTCCATCCCAAACCTGTTCTGTGGAGAGCTCAGCTGCTACAGCTGAACGGAATGAGATGCAGGAATTGGGACGTATGGGGCTTAACATTCAATAGAACAAAACTGGCAGCCTCACCAAGCGTGTTTCCCACCAGGAAAAAGCAGCAGTTCAGGCGCTGGTCAGGCTGGCGGAAGGCTACAGCGCTCGCTTCCACCCGGTCGCGCTGATTAAAAAGCAGGTGAGCTGCGTGCGGCCGTTTCGGGGCGGGGTGTGCGCGGCTGCTGCCGCGACTGGAAGGCTCAGGCCGGGGCTGCCTCGTTGGGGCGGACTCCGGTGGGCAGACCTGGCGCTCCAACCACAGTGGTCACTCAGACGCGAGGCCTCACGTGGTGGCTCAGGTGCGCGGCCTCTTTGTAAAATGTGCTGCATAACAAGTCACCACACACAGTGGGGTCTACAGTAGCCACTTCATTTCCTTACACTTCTCTTTTATCCTCCCCAACGGGGATCAAACCCACAACCGAGGTAAGTGCCCTGCCAGGAGTCAAACCGTAGCCTGTTGGTGTATGAGACGACTCACCAACCAGCCGAGCAGCCCAGCCGGGGCCTCCTACACGTTTGTGGGTCAGGTGTTTTGGACGGGCTGGGGGCTGGGTCCCGTCTGACATTGGAACCGGGTGCTGGCACTTGGCCACGGCCACCGGCTGAGGCCTTGTCTTCACCCAGAGCGCGTGGCCCACAGCACCAGGGAGAAGCACGCCGGTCGCCCTCCCCCCGCCCCAGCCTGGGAAGTCACCCCACGCCCGGCCGCCCCGCAGGCTCCTGGGGACTGTGCCCATTAAGCGAGTCCGACTCGGAGGGGACTGGCCCCGTCCTGGCCACGGTGCATGGAATTTTCGACAGCTCCACCGCCGCTCAGACATTGCTCGCGCGGACCTGGCGTGTCTCCGGCCTTTCTGTATCTCACAATGAATAACCCACACCCACCACCTGGTTTTCAAACGTGATATCCGTAGCAGTTTTACACACAGGCTTCTAGAAGGTGACAGGCACACCTGCAGCAATTTCAAAACAAGGTTTAAAATAGGTTTCTTCTAGAGCAGTGGTTCTCAGCCTTGGCTGCACATTGGAATCACCTGGGAATCTTCAAAATCCTGATTTCTGGGCCTCATCCTCCGGAAATTCTGTTTCTTTGTTATGGGGTGAGGCCCCAACATCAGTAACACAGAAACAGAATTTCCGGAGGATGAGGCCCAGAAATCAGGATTTTAAAAAAGATTCCCAGGTGATTCTAATGTGCAGCTAAGGTTGAGAACCACTGCTCTAGAGCCTTATTGCAGAACCTTCAGAAGCCGGGTCCTTTTCTTCCCAGGTGCTGAGCTGTGAGGAGAGCGTCCGGTCGTGGCCTCTGCTGCCTTTGCCGGAGGACGCTGTCAGGGAAGCGGCCAGGTGAGCTCCATCCTGGGAGCGTGCAGGCCTCACAGCAGTTGGGGAGCAGCTGGACCGTGGGGCCTGGTGACGGGTGGAGTGGGGGTGGAGAGGAAGAAGGTCGTCCAGCTCAGAGCTCAGCTGTGGGTGGGTATGTGTGAAGACTAAGAACGTGGACAATCAGAAAGGGGGTCTAACTCTCAGGAGAGAAGTGGGAACACGAATTTTGGGTTGTAGAGTCAGAGACAGATTCACGAGTCAGCAAAGCATATTGCTTTTAGCATATTGTACCATTGACTTTTTTTAATCTTCTTCCAAGGATGGAAATTATATATAATTTATTTTAAAGAGAGACATAGGGAGAAAGAGAGAAACATTAATGTGAGAGAGAAATATCAATTGGTTGTTTCCCATACACACTCCGACCAGGAATCGAACCCGCAACCCTCCAGTGCACAGGACAGTGCTCCAGCTGTTACTGGGAAACCCTGGTTGGGCTCCAGCTGCCTGTTGCTGTGCCCAATACCAGAGGCAGGGTTGAATCATTTAAGGCATTTATTGAGAAGGCCAGCCAATCAAGAAGACAGGACGCTTACAGGCATTCAGACCCTGTCTTCCAGCAGGTGCAGGGGACAGGATAATAAAGGGGAAGGGGCTGGGGGACGAACGTCAGCTACTGTCATCATGAGATGAGATGGTGTGGATGAGATGGTGTGGATGAGGTGGTGTGGATGAGGTGGTGTGGATGAGAATGTGTGGATGAGATGATGTGGATGAGATGGTGTGGATGAGATGGTGTGGATGTGGTGTGGGTGAGGTGGTGTGGGTGAGGTGGTGTGGGTGAGGTGGTGTGGGTGAGGTGGTGTGGGTGAGATGATGTTTTGATTCCTGGTGGGTCGGCTGACCATGCCTATCGGTTCTGCTTACTGGATTCACAGCCGAACCACCTCCTCAATCAGATATGAGAAACTTAGCCCCCTATTCACGTAAGTATGTTTGTTCTAAGATTTAAAATAATATTATTTTTTAGATTAATTCAGGTGCTTTACCTATCTATGTATATAAAAGCATAATATGCAAACTGTCCCCTCGGGAATTTGACGGGGAGTCCTGGAGTTTGATCACTCGCTATGACGTGTGTGACCACCAGGGGGCGGCGCTGAATGAAGGAAGGCTTCAGCCAGCAGCCAGAAGGACCCAATCGGCCCTGATCACCGGGCAGGCCTAGGGACCCTATCTGTGCTCGAATTTCATGCACCGAAATGAAATTCTCTAGTCAGATTATAAGCCCCCTTATCACAACCAGCCGAGCCCCACCCGGCCAGGGCACCGTGGCGGCCTTTTCGTTTGTAGCGGAGGAAGCATTTTCAGAGTAAGCACTTTTCTCAGTGAACCAGGCACATCAATGTGACTTTGCACAGGAGCTGGCCGGGCACCTGAATTACGTCAGGTGCGATTAAATGCCTTCTTTTTCCAGATTAGGTGGCAGTTCTGAAGCCAGTGCCTGCGAGCCTTTGATTATAAAGATCGTGTCTGAGCTGTGCCGCCACGTGCCTGGGCACCACGGTGCTTTCGGGGGCTTAGACCGCCTTCCTGTTGAGAGGTAAGTTTCCTCCCACACTCGTCAGACGTTGACACGCAAGCCGGAGCCGGTAGCTGGGCCTCGGTGCTCTCAGCCTGGCTGGTCTGTGATCACAGCCCCAGGTGAGCCTGCGTGGCGGGAACCCCTGTGTGTGTAAGAGCAGACGCGAGCTGGATGCCACGGGACTCAGTGCAGCAGGCGGCATGGTGGCCCGGGAGGTCGGCGATGTCTGTGCCCACAGAGCCGTGCTCTGACCGCAGGTGGCCCCGGCCGCTCCCGTACATCTGCAGCCTCCGCGTGCCAACCCTGTTCTGCCCCAGAGCCGTCCTGGAGGTGCTGACCGTGCTCCGAAGCATCAGCTCACGCTGCGCCCAGGTGTCCCAGCAGGTGACGGCCTCCCTGGAGCGCAGAGGCCAGCAGTGGGCGGAGAAGACACTGCGCTCCCGGCAGAGGCAGAATTTCCTGCGCATGGTGAGCAGGTGAGTGGCTGTGCCATGTGCATGGCGAGCAGGTGAGTGGCTGTTCCATGTGCGTGGCGAGCAGGTGAGTGGCTGTGCCGTGTGCGTGGCGAGCAGGTGAGTGGCTGTGCCATGTGCGTCGTGGTGAGCAGGTGCGTGGCTGTGCCGTGTGCGTGGCGAGCAGGTGAGTGACTGTGCCGTGTGCGTGGTGAGCAGGTGAGTGGCTGTGCCGTGTGCGTGGCGAGCAGGTGAGTGGCTGTGCCGTGTGCGTGGCGAGCAGGTGAGTGGCTGTGCCGTGTGTGTGGCGAGCAGGTGCGTGGCTGTGCCGTGTGCGTGGCGAGCAGGTACGTGGCTGTGCCGTGTGCGTGGTGAGCAGGTGAGTGGCTGTGCCATGTGCGTCGTGGTGAGCAGGTGCGTGGCTGTGCCGTGTGCGTGGCGAGCAGGTGAGTGACTGTGCCGTGTGCGTGGCGAGCAGGTGAGTGGCTGTGCCTTGTGCGTGGCGAGCAGGTGAGTGGCTGTGCCGTGTACGTGGCGAGCAGGTGCGTGGCTGTGCCGTGTGCGTGGCGAGCAGGTGCGTGGCTGTGCCGTGTGCGTGGCGAGCAGGTACGTGGCTGTGCCGTGTGCGTGGTGAGCAGGTGAGTGGCTGTGCCGTGTGCGTGGTGAGCAGGTGAGTGGCTGTGCCGTGTATGTGGTGAGCAGGTGCGTGGCTGTTCCGTGTGCGTGGTGAGCAGGTGCGTGGCTGTTCCGTGTGCGTGGTGAGCAGGTGCGTTACTCTGCCTGGTTCGAAGGAGCCTTGGGCAGGAGTTACCTCTGGAAGCAGTTCTGGTTCTTACTTTGAGAGAAATACTGATTTTTAGGGAAAGTTATGGAACACCTGCTGTGTGTGGCTGCAGCCCGGGGAAGACTGCCCGCCCGGGTGAGTGTGGATCGCAGGCACAGCAGTGGTGACGTGGGAGCCGTGTCCTGGCGTGTGCTGCTCCTCAGGGAGTTACCATTTGGGACAAATGCCGAGCCCTGAGTCGAGGGGTGTCTAAAGCTTTTAGCTCCCACTGCTTCTGAAAACTGATGCCTAGTTTACGCTCTGAGCGGCCACTTACAAGAGGATGCCTGCTCCCTCACATCCTTCCTGAAGCAGAATATCTTTAATCTCCTACCGGTTTTATGGGGGAAAGATCAAATCTCACTGTAGTTGGGATTTCTTTGAGTCCCAGAGACACAGACACCTTTTCATGCTTAAGCCTTTCCGTGGCTCTTCCTGCGCGTGTTTTCACTGGCTGTCGGGCTGTAAGGAAGACGCTGATGGGTGCAGGGGAGGGCACCCAGGAGGGTCCAGGGCAGGGCCAGGTCCTCCCTGTCCTCCCTATCCAGAGAGCAGGCCCTGATGGCTCAGAACTAGACAAGAGGGCATGAGGAAGGGGGGCCTGGTGGCAAGTGGCCAAGCTCCTCCTGAGGACTTCCGTGGCCCAGCCGTGGCCCAGGGCCCTGTGGTGGGGGCAGTGTGGTCCAGGGCCCTGTTGTGGGGGCAGCGTGGTCCAGGGCTCTGTGGTGGGGGCAGCGTGGGCCAGGCCCCTGTGGTGGGGGCAGCGTGGGCCAGGCCCCTGTGGTGGGGGCAGCGTGGTCCAGGGCTCTGTTGTGGGGGCAGCGTGGTCCAGGGCCCTGTGGTGGGGGCAGCGTGGTCCAGGGCCCTGTGGTGGGGGCAGCGTGGGCCAGGCCCCTGTGGTGGGGGCAGCGTGGTCCAGGGCCCTGTTGTGGGGGCAGCGTGGGCCAGGCCCCTGTGGTGGGGGCAGCGTGGTCCAGGGCTTTGTGGTGGGGGCAGCATGGTCCAGGGCCCTGTGGTGGGGGCAGCGTGGCTCAGGGCCCTGTGGTAGGGGCAGCGTGGTCCAGGGCCCTGTGGGTGGGGGCAGCGTGGTCCAGGGCCCTGTGGGTGGGGGCAGCGTGGTCCAGGGCCCTGTGGTGGGGGCAGCGTGGTCCAGGCCCTGTGGGTGGGGGCAGCGTGGCTCAGGGCTGGTCAGGTGAAACCTCATTTTCTCTATGAAGTTGGACACATTGTATTTAAGACTTTAATGTGCTTTGCTGTCTTCAGTGTGAAGCTGCTGGCCCCGGTGCTGTCCCTGGTTGTGCTGCTGGTGGCGCTGGAACTGGTCAGCGTTCACGGAGTCCGCGGCGAGAAGCCCTGCGGCCGCCAGCGGTACCTCAGGTGGGTGTCCTGCCCCAGGGGAGCTGCGTTGGCAGCTGTGAAGTCTCCACGCCTGCGGGTGATCCCTGGGTGGTTTTTGACACCCACCCCTGCCTGGCCTCACTGTTCATGGGCTTTAGGGGTCTGAGCCTTGTGCTGCCCGCGTGTGGGCCCCTTCAGCGTCAGTGCGAGCGCCCGAGTGCCCCCTGCACTCCTGTCGGGGCGCCTCTGCGGGGCTGGTCTCTGTGAGGCCCGGGCCTCGGTCACGGCACCAGACGTGATGTTTACAGTGAATGCTCTCAGCTCGGGAAGCCCCCTTTAGGAGCCCAGACCCAGCTCTGAGAGCAGGATCACACGCATGACCCACCTTACACACATGTGAGCCACCTTACGCATGTGTGACCCGCCTTACACACGTGTGACCCACCTTACACGCAGAGCTTCCAGGAGAGGCGCGGGATCTGTCATGTGTTCACCCCGGCTGCTCCCGCAAAGTCCCTCGTGTCCCCAGCTTGAGGCTTCGCAGGTCGCAGGCAGCTCAGTGCATGTTTACAGGGCGATGAGGTCCAGGTGAGGGCGGAGCGAGTGCAGCCGCTGGTCCTTGTTTCCAGTCTAGTCAGGGTCTCAGCCTCCGCACTGACATCCTGAGCTGGTGGTTCCCCGGTGGGGGCTGGGGCGTCCTGTGCCTGGTGGGGGCTGGGGCGTCCTGTGCCCGATGGGGGCTGGGGCGTCCTGTGCCTGGTGGGGGCTGGGGGTGTCCTGTGCCCGGTGGGGGCTGGGGCGTCCTGTGCCCGGTGGGGCTGGGGTGTCCTGTGCCTGGTGGGGCTGGCTTGTCCTGTGCCCTGTGGGGGCTGGCTTGTCCTGTGCCCAGTGGGGCTGGCTTGTCCTGTTCCCGGTGGGGGCTGGGGCGTCCTGTGTCCGGTGGGGGCTGGGGCGTCCTGTGCCTGGGGGCCCATCCACCTCCCCAGTGACAATGTGGCAGCATTTCTCTTTCACGGAACCTGTACTGTGTCCATTGTGTGGGCACCCCTTTTCCTTGAATTCGCAGATAGAAATTAAACTCAGTACATAAAGAGAAAACATTCGCATCATTGTCACATTCTCAGTGGATGGAGTAGATAAAGGAATTAATTCCTGACGCAGGTTCTTAAAGTCGGTCCTGCAGTTCACTGAGAACCTGGCGGCCTGCACCAGCCCCGCCAGGAACCAGTGGGGCGAGACGGCCCGGCTCACGCACACGGCGCTGCTGGGCATCTGGACTTCAGGGAGAGGAGACAGATGCTCATCCACCGAGCCGGGAGCTCCCGCTGAGGCCGCCCGAAGACACGTCGGAGCTCAGTCACACCAGGAGCCCCCGGATGGATGTCACAGCCTGCAAACGGGTCCAGGGGAGGCGGTTCCAGGGACACGCTCCCCGTGGTGGTGCCGTGTCCTCCTCGGTCAGCACGCCATGGAGTGTGCGGTCCCCGTGGTGGTGCCGTGTCCTCCTCGGTCAGCACGCCATGGAGTGTGCGGTCCCCGTGGTGGTGCCGTGTCCTCCTCGGTCAGCACGCCATGGAGTGTGCGGTCCCCGGGGTGGTGCCGTGTCCTCCTCGGTCAGCACGCCATGGAGTGTGCAGTTCCCGTGGTGGTGCCGTGTCCTCGGTCAGCACGCCATGGAGTGTGCGGTCCCCGTGGTGGTGCCATGTCCTCCTCGGTCAGCACGCCATGGAGTGTGCGGTCCCCGGGGTGGTGCCGTGTCCTCCTCGGTCAGCACGCCATGGAGTGTGCAGTTCCCGTGGTGGTGCCGTGTCCTCGGTCAGCACGCCATGGAGTGTGCGGTCCCCGTGGTGGTGCCATGTCCTCCTCGGTCAGCACGCCATGGAGTGTGCGGTCCCCGTGGTGGTGCCGTGTCCTCCTCGGTCAGCACGCCATGGAGTGTGCGGTCCCCGGGGTGGTGCCGTGTCCTCCTCGGTCAGCACGCCATGGAGTGTGCGGTCCCCGGGGTGGTGCTGTGTCCTCCTCGGTCAGCACGCCATGGAGTGTGCAGTTCCCGTGGTGGTGCCGTGTCCTCGGTCAGCACGCCATGGAGTGTGCGGTCCCCGTGGTGGTGCCATGTCCTCCTCGGTCAGCACGCCATGGAGTGTGCGGTCCCCGTGGTGGTGCCGTGTCCTCCTCGGTCAGCACGCCATGGAGTGTGCGGTCCCCGGGGTGGTGCCGTGTCCTTGGTCAGCACGCCATGGAGTGTGCGGTCCCCGGGGTGGTGCTGTGTCCTCCTCGGTCAGCACGCCATGGAGTGTGTGGTCCCCGTGGTGGTGCCGTGTCCTCCTCGGTCAGCACGCCATGGAGTGTGCGGTCCCCGTGGTGGTGCCGTGTCCTCCTCGGTCAGCACGCCATGGAGTGTGCGGTCCCCGGGGTGGTGCCGTGACCTTGGGCAGCACCACTGAGCACATGTGGGTGAACTGGCTCCCTCGCTGGCGAGGTGACGCTCACTTAGTGTTTCTGATAAAGTGGCGGCACCCGATCTCTTCACCATGAAGACGTGACTGTGGCTGGCAGCTGCTCAGGAAGCTGCGTGAGCCCTTGGCCATTCTCCCCAAGCCTGTCCTCCATGTGGGCTGGGGTATAAAGTGGTAGCATGTTGGCTCTGTCTCCTGCATTTACTCGTCACCGTCTCTGAGGAAGGAGGCCTCTGGCTGCACTGAGCACCTTAGGGTGTGCTCGCTGCCCAGAGAGCCCCTCCGTGTGTGGCTCAGTCCTGACAGGCCCGCAGCCCGGCTCCCCGTCCCCGGGATTCTCCAGGGGCTGGGGAGTGGGGAGGTCCCACTGGGTCCCCAACTGCTGGACACAGCCCATTGCCCTCTGGGGAGCCTCTCCCGGGGCTGCCAGCCGCCTGCGTCCCTGAAAGGGTGAGAGGTGAGCTGGCCATGGGCCCCGCACCAGCAGACTCTGACGGGAGGAATGGCCATGGGTGGATGTGAGGAAGGCGGGCCAGGCGGCCTTGTTAGCCAAGGCCTGTTACGGGGGGGGGGGGGGGGGGCGTGTGTGAGGGAGGGGCACAGGGAAGTGAAGGCGAGAAACAGCAGTGGGGCCTGGGCCGCCTCCGTCTGCCGTCCAGGGGCCTGTTGGGCGAGTTCTCTCCACAAGCAGGGGAGTGACTGGGCTGCTTGCCGCCCGCACCGAGCCAGTGAGGAGCCCGCTGGGGAGGCAGGGCCAGGCTGGCCCTCGGGAAACGCGAGCCCAAGAAGGGACTGAGGGTACAGGACAGGCCGGGCGCTGGGCACACCCTCACTCAGACCTGGCTGCACCGTCTCCTGCACGTGTGAGGTCACCAGGGCCCTGGCCACTCGAGGGTTCTCCTGGGAAAGGGTGGAGGCGGCATGGCCCTGAGCAGACGGAGGGCCTGGGCGAGGCGCTGCTTGGGCAGCGGGTGCCACAGGCCTCCCGTGGCGCCAGGAGGAAGGGAGACCACGTGCTCCGTCCGCAGGCTCTGCTCTGTCCTGCACACGCAGCGGGAAGAGGGAAGCAGGAGGCGAGAACCACGGCGGCTCCCAGCCTGTCTCTGGTGGCCGGGCTTCAGGTGAAGAAGGTGCTGGGACCACGCGGCTGTCCTCCTGGGTCAGAGCTGAGGGCGCGGTGGTCCCGCCCAGGCCGTGCCCCTGGGATTGCCCGTGCCCCTCCGTGGGCACCCGGGGGGTGTAGACGCGGGTTAGGGTTGCGGGCTCTGCCCTGAGGAGTGAGCCCCGCAGCAATGGGTGTCCTGCGTCGGGGCTGGAGCTGCTGTTGCAGGAGAGCTGGGCGTCTCAGTGCTGCTTCCCTCCCCGCTGTGGGGGCTTCGGCCGCGTTTCCCTGGCGAGCCGCCGGGGGGCGCCCTGAGTCAGGCCTGGGCGGCCGGGACTGAGCTCTGCTGCTCTGGGCATGGGAAGAGTGAGCGCCGATGGATTCACTTTTCATTTTGCAAGAGAACACTGATTCGGTAAATCAGACAGAAAACGTAACTCCTAGGAGAAAGGGGCTGAGGAAGGCCGGCTGTGGAGCAAAGGCGGGCCCTTGGAGCTGGGAGTGCGGAGGGGATGGGAGCGAGCTTGGGCGAGGGGAGGGCGGGGAGGGCAAGGCTGGGGTGCTCTGGAGGGGCGCCTGAGTCCCTGTGGTGAGACACAGCCCTGACCAAGTCTGGCCTGGCCCAGGGGCCGCGCAGGGACCAGCTGAGACACCCGAGGGCCTTCACTGCAGCAGGAGGTGGGGGCGGGGCGGGGGGTACACGCACTGCGGGGGAGGGGGGTCTCTGTAAGGAACCCGAGTGACTCCTGCGAGGAGAGTCCAGGCGCAGGTTTGCTGTGGGAACTTCTAACAGCCGTCCTGTCCCAGGAGCAGACCCATCCCCGCCCGTCGCGTGGAGGGTGCAGCTGGGCCTGCAGGCGGGAGGCGGGAGGGGCCCCCCTGAGTGACTTTAATAAACGGAGTCTCCGCCGCCCGCCCCTGGGCTGCCTGAGCCTCTGAGGGCTGCCTGAGCCCCGCCCACGGCCAGCGGGGCTCCAGGGACCAGGAGCGTGTCTGTGGGGCCATCCCCACCTTCACCCAGAGGAGGCCCTGGGTGAGCGCAGGGAGCCTTCCCACAGGCATGGGATGACTTTAACTCGAGAGTTTTAGGTCAAGTTCAAAACGCCCGTCCTCGAGCAGCCGCACGAATGGCCATAGTGTGCGAAGCAGGCGGCACAGACTTATTATAAACATGAAACGTCCTTGCTGACGCCGCAGAGGCGTGAGACCTGAGGCATGGGCCTCGCACCCACCAGGGAGAGGAGGCGCCAAGCCGGGTGTTCGCTGGTCCTTCGGGGGGTCCTGGCCTCGGTGGGAGCCCCACGCCAGGCTGGGTGCAGGGCCAGGTGTGGGGCCGGGCGCGGGGCGGGGGGCTCCTGAGAAGGGGGGGCTGCAGGTCTGGGCTGCACTTGTCGCCCAGCTCCAGATCCCACTGATGGCACAGCCTGCAGCCTGGCGGTTCCCAGGGATGTTGTCGCCAGCGCTAGTCCTCGCAGCTGGAAGGAGGCGGCGTGGCCACTTCACCGGTGGCAGAGGGTGGACGGAGGGTGTTGGCCCAGGTCAGTGTGGGGCGGCCACTTCGCCTCCTGCGCTCACCACCGTGGGTCTGGGAGCCGGTGGAGGCCGCCTGCTGGCTGCCCCTGGGGGTTGGCGGTCCGTCAGCCGCCTCGTCTGTGCTGCGTCTGTGCTGCCGTGTAAGTGGGAGGCCAAGAGCTCGAGCCTCTGCACCCGCCCCCCTGAGGCTGCCTCTCACTCCATCTCAAAGACGGAATATTGCTCCGAAGGGCCAAAGGTAAGGAGCTCCGGGCGTGCCCCTCGCGTGTCAGTGCCCGAGAGGCCGCTGGGACCAGACCCCGGCCCCGGCCCCTCCCTCTCCTTTCCCTCCCTGTGGCAGGTGGTAATGCTGGTCTCTGGCTGGGATGGAAGTCACATGACACATGGGCATAACCCGCAAGTTAGTATTTCTCTGTGGGCACGACTCTGCGGGGGAAGCCGAAGGATCCCAGATGTTTGAGGGGTTTCCTGGGAGGACAGAGGCCGCAGGGTGGCCAGTGGTGACTCTGACATGCTGTCCACAGAGGCAGCGCCTGCGGGGGCAGGGCGGGGCCCTCTCGGGGCCGGGGAGCAGGGCCAGGCCGTCTCGGGGGCCGGGGAGCAGGGCCAGGCCGTCTCGGGGGCCAGGGGGCAGGGCCGGGCCCTCTCAGGGCCGGGGAGCAGGGCCAGGCCATCTCGGGGGCCGGGGAGCAGGGCCAGGCCGTCTCGGGGGCCAGGGAGCAGGGCCGGGCCGTCTCAGGGGCCGGGGGGCAGGGCCGGGCCGTCTCGGGGGCCGGGGAGCAGGGCCGGGCCGTCCCGGGGGCCGGGGGGCAGGGCCAGGGAGCAGGGCCAGGCTGTCTCGGGGGCAGGGCCTGGGCCTGCGGAGGTCGGAGGTCGGCTGAGGCGTCTGGAGCCCCCATGGCCTCCAGGTCCCTTTCCTCCCCCGGGACCTGGGCGGGGAGTCTGGTGTCGCTGGCTGGGCCGGGACTGGGAGGAGCAGCACCTCGTGCCTGGTCACCACACAACAAAATGAGACATGACCCCGAAGCGTGATGTGGACAGGAAGCTCGTGCTGCCGCCCGATGCCCCTACGGCCGGGATGGACGGTGAAGGACAGGGTGCAGGGCCCTTCCGAGGGAGACAGTGAGTGAGGCCAGGGGAAGTGCCGTCCGAACAGGTGTCGAGCTCAGCGAGAAAAAGGAGGAGGAGGAGGGTGAGGAGGAGGAGGAAGGTGTGAGCAGGGCCTGCCCACCTGAGCAGCCTCCGTGCACAGGGAGTGGCTGCAGGACACGATTAGGGGGCTGCTTCCCCGGGAGCAGAGGGGTCAGGGGTGAGGGTGGAGTGTGGATGGGGGGTCCCATCCCCGGAGCACGCTGGCCGGGCGGTGGGGTCCTCG